ATGACTGATAGAGAGCTGGTATTGGTAGGAATGAATGACTGATAGACAGCTGGTACTGGAAGGAATAAATGACTGACAGACAGCTTGTACTGGTAGGAATGAATGACTGATAGACAGCTGTTACTGGTAGGAATGAGTGTTAGACAGCTGGTACTGGTAGGATTGAATGACTGATAGACAGCTGGTACTGGAAGGAATAAATGACTGACAGACAGCTTGTACTGGTAGGAATGAATGACTGATAGACAGCTGTTACTGGTAGGAATGAGTGTTAGACAGCAGGTACTGTATTCCTTAGAACATAAACGAGAAAGAGTATAATCTAAATTTGGAAGATTCTATAGGGATTGGTACCAATCCTGCACACTGAAGTGTCTACTGATTAACACCTGAAGCGTGGCAGGCGGTGCAGGAGACTTCCAGAGGAAAGTGGGGAAACGATGAATAAACTGAGAGAAAGCTAGATAAATGTAAAGGGACCACGACTCTTCACCTCCTCCCTTCATGCATAACGGAAATTAGCAAATGACCCCCAGCTGTCTCCAGGAGGGACCTCGACACATTCCTCAAAACAGATCCTGATCATCCGGGCTGTGGTGCAAACGTTGGTCTGCAGGCGGCAGGCACCAATAGCCTAATCAATCAGGCCAGGCAGTTAGTGGGACTGGTATTGGGCCGGGCCGCGGGGGCGGTGACCCCAGGAAACCACTACAGCCATCTAGAGAAGGGATACTTGCAACACTTTCTTCCTGGGGTTTGGCTTCTCAATGGAATTAATCACAAATTTGTAAGCACAAATAAATTATTACACACAACGACAGTTTCTTATTGGTCACTTTATATGATCAACACTGTACACCCCCCCCTACTGGTCACTTTATATGATCAACACTGTACACCCCCCCCTACTGGTCACTTTATATGATCAACACTGTACACCCTCCCCCCCCTACTGGTCACTTTATATGATCAACACTGTACACCCTCCCCCCCTACTGGTCACTTTATATGATCGACACTGTACACCCTCCCCCCCCTACTGGTCACTTTATATGATCAACACTGTACACCCTCCCCCCCCTACTGGTCACTTTATATGATCAACACTGTACACCCCCCCCCCTACTGGTCACTTTATATGATCAACACTGTACACCCCCCTCCTACTGGTCACTTTATATGATCAACACTGTACACCCTCCCCCCCCTACTGGTCACTTTATATGATCAACACTGTACACCCTCCCCCCCCCCTACTGGTCACTTTATATGATCGACACTGTACACCCTCCCCCCTTCACACACACACACACTCGACCCTTGCAACCACAATTAGGTGAGTACACACCCGCACTCACACACCCGCACACACCCACCCACGTAACAACATACTGTACGTAACAACAAAATGCAAGAAGGCAGAGGAAAAGGTTTGTTCCCAAGGGCAACAGAAATAATGGGAAGATCAAAACGAGCCCCTGGTTTACGGACGGTGTAAGGAGGCAAAAACTAAGTGCACTAGAGAATGGAAAAAGTACAGAAGGCAAAGGACACAGTAAAATAGGGAGATTAGTCGAAGAGCCAGAAACGAGTATGCACAGGTAAGGAGGAAGGCCCAGCGACAGTACAAAAACAACATAGCATCGAAAGTCAAGTCTGACCCGAAACTGCTGTATAGCTACATTAGAAGGAAGACAACAGTCAAAAACCAGGTGATCAGGCTGAGGACAGAAGGTGGGGAACTCACAAAAAACGATCATGAGGTAAGTCAGAAGCGATTTAAGGAAGTATTTACAGTAGAGACAGGAAGGGCTCTGGGAAGACAGCACAGAGGGGAACATCAACAGGGAATATACCAACAAGTGTTGGATGACATACAAACAACAGAGGAGGAGGTGCAGAAGCTGCTAAGCGACCTTGATACCTCAGAGGCAATGGGTCCGGACATCTCACCTTGGGTCCTTAGAGAAGGAGCAGAGATGCTGTGTGTGCCACTAGCCAAAATCTTCAATACATCCCTTGAAACTGGTCAACCACCTGATGTAAGAAAGACGGAGACAGAAACGAGGCACTAAACTATAGACCAGTGTCTCTGATGTGTATAGTATGCAAAGTCGTGGAGAATATTATCAGGAGGAGAGTGGTGGAACACCAGGAACAGAACAAGATTATAAACGATAACCAGCATGGGTTCATGGAAGGCAAATCCTGTGTCACAAACCTTCTGGAGTTTTATGACAAGGTAACAAAAGTAAGACACGAGAGAGAGGGGTGGGTTGATTGCATTTTCCTGGACTGCAGGAAGTCCTTCGACACAGTTCCTCACAAGAGATTAGTGCAGAAGTTGGAGGATCAGGCGCGTATAACGGGAAGGGCATTGCAATGGATCAGAGAATACCTGACAGGGAGGCAACAACGAGTCATGGTACGTGAAGAGGTATCACAGTGGGCGCCTGTGACGAGCGGGGTCCCAGAGGGGTCAGTCCTAGGACCAGTGCTATTTTTGATTTATGTGAATGACATGATGGAAGGGATAAACTCTGAAGTGTCCCCGTTCGCAGATGATGTGAAATTAGTGAGAAGAATTAAATCAGATGAAGATCAGGCAGGACTACAAAGAGACCTGGACAGGCTGGACACGTGGTCCAGAAACTGGCTCCTTGAATTCAACCCTGCCAAATGCAAAATCATGAAGATTGGAGAAGGGCAAAGAAGACCGCAGACAGAGTATAGGCTGAGTGGACAAATACTGCAAACCTCACTCAAGGAGAAAGATCTTGGGGTGACCAAAACACCGAGCATGTCTCCGGAGTCACACATCAACCAGATAACTGCTGCAGCATATGGGCGCCTGGCAAACCTGAGAATAACGTTCCGATACCTTAGTAAGGAATCGTTCAAGACACTGTACACTGTGTACGTTAGACCCATACTGGAGTATGCAGCTCCAGTTTGCGACCCACACCTGGTCAAGCACGTCAAGAAATTAGAGAAAGTGCAAAGGTTTGCAACAAGGTTAGTTCCGGAGCTCAGGGGAATGTCCTACGATGAAAGGTTGAGGGAAATCGAACTGACGACACTAGAGGACAGAAGGATCAGGGGAGACATGATAACAACATACAAAATACTGCTTTGAATAAATAAGGTGGACAGAGACAAGATGTTCCAGGGAGGGGACACAGAAACAAGGGGTCACAATTTGAAGCTGAAGAATCAGACGAGTCACAGGGATGTTAGGAAGTATTTCTTCAGTCAGAGAGTCGTCAGGAAGTGGAATAGTCTAGCAAGTGACGTAGTGGAGGCAGGAACCATACATAGCTTTAAGACAAGGTATGACAAAGCCCAGGAAGCAGAGAGAGAGAGAGAGGAAATGCAGCGATCAGTGAAGAGGCGGTGCCAGGAGCTGAGTTTCGACCCCTGCAATCACAATTAGGTGAGTACACAGACATACACACGAGCGCACACGTCCTGCACATGGTGTACGCACACACAGCGGGGGTGCACATGGACACAAACACAACCCTCCATCACTCACTGGACGTACACACAGTGTGTCTTACGTAAAACAACACAAGTGCAACTAATGCGACATTTTTATTGTGGCAACGTTTCGCTCTCCAGGAACTTTGTCAAGCTGTCACAGACAATACAAGGTATTATATAATTGCTGAATAATAATAATAATGCTGTTGTTGTTGTTGTTGTTGTTGTTTAATGACGGGGTTTACTGCCTTAAGAATTCTTACTAATACTTCAGAGATGATGAAGTTGCTCTTATTGTGTTTAATTGTGTCAGAAATAGTGATTAATGATGATTCAAGGCAGTTACATCTACGGACACTGGGTTCTTTAATCACTAGTCGAGCGTTGTTGAATTTCACCAGGTGGTTGCCGGAAATCCGGTGTTGTACGCAGGCGTTGTTCAAGTTATCGTTCCCACATGTATTGTGTTCACTGAGACGTGTTTGTTGCTGTTGCACCTCCCGGAGATTTCGTTGTCCCGACTGAACTCTGCGTTAATTTCAACTGATTTTTTCTTTAAATAACAGGCAGTACAAACAAACCTATGGTATGGGAATGGTGTCCGCCATCAGCGCCGTCTTAGCCAACTTGTATATAGAACACCTGGAAGCTGTACACTTCACCAACATCATCGTCGCCACCAGCGTCACTTGGTGATGTTATGTACACGATGTTCTCATAATAACTCCAAAATGCTTTAATATGCGAAATCTTCTAGCAAGGCTCAACCCAGTTGAACTGGCTATCCAGTTTACACTTGAAGACGAGTCTAGTGACAAGCTATATTTTCTAGACGTCTTCATTCACAAGTTTACAGGAAGTCTACCAACAAAGACGATCTCACACTTCTATTCCAGCATCCTCGGGTTTATCCTAAGTTCTGGACGAGGAGTGTACATACACCAAACCTTCACCCAGCTACATTTTCCTCCCTCTTACATCAGGATGCAAGAAAAGAGCCCTTCAGGACACCAACTCTCCACTCCTAACACCACTCCTAACAAAATTATAATGCTTCTCAACAGCCAAGTTACAATGAGTGTTTGTGAAGTATTCGCGCAAGTTAACACTAGAGTCGCTATCTCAAGCAGCACCTCCATAAAACAGGTAACTAGGGGGAAACTGAAGCACCTTGAAGCAGTCACTGCAGGAGTTAACACTGCGTATGTTCTGTGAAACATGTACCACTACTAAAACTAATACTGGTATTGTTACTACTACCTATAACCATTATATTATGCCTTGCACCTCACTCTAATACCTATATATACCCTCTGTGTCCATGTATTTGTAACGGCTTGACAAAGCTCCTGGAGAGCGAAACGTTGCCACAATAAAAATGTCGCTTTAGTTGCACTTGTGTCCTTTTACGTAACATATTGGTGGGTAATTCTACTCTCTAACACTCACTATAGATATACAGTGTGTTTTGCATCACTCACTAGAGATACACACCGTGTGTGTCTTTCCAGCATCACTAGAGATACACACCGTGTGTGTCTTTCCAGCATCACTAGAGATACACACCGTGTGTGTCTTTCCAGCATCTCTCACTAGAGGTACACACACTGTGTACACTGTCATTCACTACACTACTAATATTCACTCTGGGTTCCACAGTCTTCAGAGAGTTGCGACTCCTCTCACTAGCGTTGCAACCCTTGTCGCTAGCGCTGTGACGCCTGTTGCTAGCGTTGCGACGCCTGTCGCTAGCGCTGCGACACCTGTCGCTAGTGTTGCGACGCAGGTGGGAGAGAGGATGGGCAGCGACGGGTGTGAGACGGGACGAGGCGAGAGACGCGACTCCACCACACACGACACACACACTGGCCCGCCCTGGCTGCCATCACCCCTGCCACCCACCAACGAGAGCCACCCACCCACCCACCCACCCCAGCCAGAAACCACCAGCCCAGCACCCACCCACAGCCAAGAAACCCACTACAATGCGGCCCACCCACCCACCCACCCCTAACACAGCCATCAGCCCCTAGGCCTGCCACCTACCAACCCCAAGATATGCCACCCAACCAATACCCTGCCACCAACCACCTCTCCGCCGCCCCTGTTGCTGCTGCCGCCCTCTCTTACCCCGCTTCGCCCCGCCGCCCCAACCAGAGAGAGAGAGAGAGAGAGAGAGAGAGAGAGAGAGAGAGAGAGAGAGAGGAGAGAGAGAGAGAGAGAGAGAGAGAGAGAGAGAGAGAGATGAGAGTTGACAGTGAAGTTATTCAATGACATTCTTAATATATTCTGAAAGATAAGGACGAGGTGGAGGTGGTGGAGGACGAGGTGGAGGTGGTGCAGGACGAGGTGGAGGTGGTGCAGGACGAGGTGGAGGTGGTGGAGGAAGAGGTGGTGGAGGACGAGGTGGAGGTGGTGGAGGAAGAGGTGGTGGAGGACGAGGTGGAGGTGGTGGAGGAAGAGGTGGTGGATGGGACGAGGTGGAGGTGGATGGAGGACGAGGTGGAGGTGGTGGAGGACGAGGTGGAGGTGGTGCAGGACGAGGTGGAGGTGGTGGAGGAAGAGGTGGTGGAGGACGAGGTGGAGGTGGTGGAGGAAGAGGTGGTGGAGGACGAGGTGGAGGTGGTGGAGGAAGAGGTGGTGGAGGACGAGGTGGAGGTGGTGGAGGAAGAGGTGGTGGAGGACGAGGTGGAGGTGGTGGAGGAAGAGGTGGTGGAGGACGAGGTGGGGTGGTGGAGGAAGAGGTGGTGGAGGACGAGGTGGAGGTGGTGGAGGAAGAGGTGGTGGAGGACGAGGTGGAGGTGGAGGAAGAGGTGGTGGAGGACGAGGTGGAGGTGGTGGAGGAAGAGGTGGTGGAGGACGAGGTGGAGGTGGTGGAGGAAGAGGTGGTGGAGGACGAGGTGGAGGTGGTGGAGGACGAGGTGGAGTGTGGTGGAGGACGAGGTGGAGGGTGGTGCAGGACGAGGTGGAGGTGGTGGAGGAAGAGGTGGTGGAGGACGAGGTGGAGGTGGTGGAGGAAGAGGTGGTGGAGGACGAGGTGGAGGGTGGTGGAGGAAGAGGTGGTGGAGGACGAGTGGAGGAGGTGGAGGAAGAGGTGGTGGAGGACGAGGTGGAGGTGGTGGAGGAAGAGGTGGTGGAGGACGAGGTTGGAGGTGGTGGAGAAGAGGTGGTGGAGGACGAGGTGGAGGTGGTGGAGGAAGAGGTGGTGGAGGACGAGGTGGAGGTGGTGGAGGAAGAGGTGGTGGAGGACGAGGTGGAGGTGGTGGAGGAAGAGGTGGTGGAGGACGAGGTGGAGGTGGTGGAGGACGAGGTGGAGGTGGTGGAGGACGAGGTGGAGGTGGTGAGGAAGAGGTGGTGGAGGACGAGGTGGAGGTGGTGGAGGAAGAGGTGGTGGAGGACGAGGTGGAGGTGGTGGAGGAAGAGGTGGTGGAGGACGAGGTGGAGGTGGTGGAGGAAGAGGTGGTGGAGGACGAGGTGGAGGTGGTGGAGGAAGAGGTGGTGGAGGACGAGGTGGAGGTGGTGGAGGAAGAGGTGGTGGAGGACGAGGTGGAGGTGGTGGAGGAAGAGGTGGTGGAGGACGAGGTGGAGGAGGTGGAGGAAGAGGTGGTGGAGGACGAGGTGGAGGTGGTGGAGGAAGAGGTGTGGAGGACGAGGTGGAGGTGGTGGATGAAGAGGTGGTGGAGGACGAGGTGGAGGTGGTGGAGGAAGAGGTGGGGGGAGGACGAGGTGGAGGTGGTGGAGGGAAGAGGTGGTGGAGGACGAGGTGGAGGTGGTGGAGGAAGAGGTGGTGGAGGACGAGGTGGAGGTGGTGGAGGAAGAGGTGGTGGAGGACGAGGGTGGAGGTGGTGGCGGACGAGGTGGAGGTGGTGGAGGACGAGTGGAGGTGGTGCAGGGACGAGGTGGAGGTGGTGGAGGAGAGGTGGTGGAGGACGAGGTGGAGGTGGTGGAGGAAGAGGTGGTGGAGGACGAGGTGGGAGGTGGTGGAGGAAGAGGTGGTGGAGGACGAGGTGGAGGTGGTGGAGGAAGAGGTGGTGGAGGACGAGGTGGAGGTGGTGGAGGAAGAGGTGGTGGAGGACGAGGTGGAGGTGGTGGAGGAAGAGGTGGTGGAGGACGAGGTGGAGGTGGTGGAGGAAGAGGTGGTGGAGGACGAGGTGGAGGTGGTGGGAGGAAGAGGTGGTGGAGGAACGAGGTGAGGTGGGTGGAGGACGAGGTGGAGGTGGTGGAGGACGAGGTGGAGGTGGTGGAGGACGAGGTGGAGGTGGTGGAGGAAGAGGTGGTGGAGGGACGAGGTGGAGGTGGTGGAGGAAGAGGTGGTGGAGGAACGAGGTGGAGGTGGTGGAGGACGAGGTGGAGGTGGTGAGGACGAGGTGGAGGTGGTGGAGGAAGAGGTGGTGGAGGATGAGGTGGAGGTGGTGGAGGAAGAGGTGGTGGAGGACGAGGTGGAGGTGGTGGAGGACGGGTGGAGGTGGTGGAGGAAGAGGTGGTGGAGGAGAGGTGGAGGTGGTGGAGGAAGAGGTGGTGGAGGACGAGGTGGAGGTGGTGGAGGAAGAGGTGGTGGAGGACGAGGTGGAGGTGGTGGAGGAAGAGGTGGTGGAGGACGAGGTGGAGGTGGTGGAGGAAGAGGTGTGGAGGACGAGGTGGAGGTGGTGGAGGAAGAGGTGGTGGAGGACGAGGTGGGGTGGTGGAGGAAGAGGTGGTGGAGGACGAGGTGGAGGTGGTGGAGGAAGAGGTGGTGGAGGACGAGGTGGAGGTGGTGGAGGAAGAGTGGTGGAGGACGAGGTGGAGGTGGTGGAGGAAGAGGTGGTGTGAGGACGAGGTGGAGGTGGTGGAGGAAGAGGTGTGGAGGACGAGGTGGAGTGGTGGAGGAAGAGGTGGTTGGAGGACGAGGTGGAGGAGGTGGAGGAAGAGGTGGTGGAGGACGAGGTGGAGGAGGTGGAGGAAGAGGTGGTGGAGGACGAGGTGGAGGAGGTACACTAGCAGTGTTGCCACCTGTGTACAGAAGGTACACTAGCAGTGTTGCCACCTGTGTACAGAAGGTACACTTGGCAGTGTTGCCACCTGTGAAACAGAAGGTACACTTGCAGTGTTTGCCACCTGTGAACAGAAGGTACACTTGCAGTGTTGCCACCTGTGTACAGAAGGTACACTTGCAGTGTTGCCACCTGTGAACAGAAGGTACACTAGCAGTGTTGCCACCTGTGTACAGAAGGTACACTTGCAGTGTTGCCACCTGTTGTACAGAGGTACACTTGCAGTGTTGCCACCTGTGAACAGAAGGTACACTTGCAGTGTTGCCACCTGTGTACAGAAGGTACACTTGCAGTGTTGCCACCTGTGAACAGAAGGTACACTTGCAGTGTTGCCACCGTGAACAGAGGTACACTTGCAGTGTTGCCACCTGTGTACAGAAGGTACACTTGCAGTGGGTTGCCACCTGTGAAAGAAGGACATAGCAGTGTTGCCACCTGTGTACAGCTGGTACACTAGCAGTGTTGCCACCTGTGAACAGAAGGTACACTAGCAGTGTTGCCACCTGTGAACAGAAGGTACACTTGCAGTGTTGCCACCTGTGAACAGAAGGTACACTTGCAGTGTTGCCACCTGTGTACAGCTGGTACACTAGCAGTGTTGCCACCTGTGAACAGAAGGTACACTAGCAGTGTTGCCACCTGTGTACAGAAGGTACACTTGCAGTGTTGCCACCTGTGAACAGAAGGTACACTTGCAGTGTTGCCACCTGTGTACAGAAGGTACACTTGCAGTGTTGCCACCTGTGTACAGAAGGTACACTAGCAGTGTTGCCACCTGTGTACAGAAGGTACACTTGCAGTGTTGCCACCTGTGAACAGAAGGTACACTAGCAGTGTTGCCACCTGTGTACAGCTGGTACACTAGCAGTGTTGCCACCTGTGAACAGAAGGTACACTAGCAGTGTTGCCACCTGTGAACAGAAGGAACACTTGCAGTGTTGCCACCTGTGAACTGAAGGTTACACTTGCAGTGTTGCCACCTGTGTACAGCTGGTACACTAGCAGTGTTGCCACCTGTGAACAGAAGGTACACTAGCAGTGTTGCCACCTGTGTACAGCTGGTACACTAGCAGTGTTGCCACCTGTGTACAGCTGGTACACTAGCAGTGTTGCCACACTGCGTACAGAAGGTAACACTTGCATGTGTTGCCACCTGTGTACAGAAGGTACACTTGCAGTGTTGCCACCTGTGTACAGAAGGTACACTAGCAGTGTTGCCACCTGCGTACAGAAGGTACACTTGCAGTGTTGCCACCTGTGTGCAGAAGGTACACTTGCAGTGTTGCCACCTGTGTACACAAGGTACACTTGCAGTGTTGCCACCTGCGTACAGAAGGTACACTAGCAGTGTTGCCACCTGTGTACAGCAGGTACACTAGCAGTGTTGCCACCTGTGTACAGAAGGTACACTTGCAGTGTTGCCACCTGTGTACAGAAGGTACACTAGCAGTGTTGCCACCTGTGTACAGAAGGTACACTAGCAGTGTTGCCACCTGTGAACAGAAGGTACACTAGCAGTGTTGCCACCTGTGAACAGAAGGTACACTAGCAGTGTTGCCACCTGTGTACAGAAGGTACACTAGCAGTGTTGCCACCTGTGTACAGAAGGTACACTAGCAGTGTTGCCACCTGTGAACAGAAGGTACACTAGCAGTGTTGCCACCTGTGTACAGAAGGTACACTAGCAGTGTTGCCACCTGTGAACAGAAGGTACACTAGCAGTGTTGCCACCTTGTGAACAGAAGGTACACTAGCAGTGTTGCCACCTGTGTACAGAAGGTACACTAGCAGTGTTGCCACCTGTGTACAGAAGGTACACTAGCAGTGTTGCCA